AGATCTCGTGGTGTAGTGGTTATCACATCTGTCTAACACGGAGAAGGTCGGTGGTTCAAGCCCGCGCGAGATCACCCTTTGCATTTCCGCAACTCTTATCGCGGTCCTTTTTGTTGATACAGCGAAGAACGTTGAATCATTGACTGAGATGATTGTTAGAATATGTTAGTCTGCGCGTTTTGTAAGCAATGTACGCTCGACACCGAACGAAAAGTCAAAAAGTCCGACAAATTTTTTTTTGATCTAGAAATAGTGATGCTCCTTTGAACGGGTGTGGACGGCGCGTCAATTAACCTTCAGAAGGGAATTAAGGAAAACTTTCAGAGAAACCGCATTGTTACGCATACCAAGTAAGGTTTCGTATTGTAGTGGTTATCACATCTGTCTAACACACAGAAGGTCGGCGGTCCAAGCCCGCCCGAGATGACGCTTTGCACTCGCTGCACGCTTGACGGTTACTCGCTGTTCAGACCGCAAAAAAAATTCTGGTTTTAGAATTCTTGAAACCAAGTTATACAATGCTGTCGAGTAGTTCTTATTCCACAAAAGCCCATTATTTTACTTAATAGTCAGCCTCAAAAAGCCGATGACCTTTGAAAATCACAGACAAACCCTGCTAGTGAAACTTCGGGACCCCTGGCGTTAAGAGGGGATCTCGTAGTGTGGTGCTGATCACGTCTAACAAACAGGAGGCTGGCGGCTCGAGGCGGCCGGAGATCACGCTGTGCATCCGCACATTGCTTTTCGCTTCTACCGCCTAATTTGACCGAAAAAGCTTGGACGGACATTGACAAAATTAAGATTTCGTGAGAATAACAATAGGATTAGAATCGAAAAGGAACCAGTGTGCTGCCAGGACTTTTTGTGTGGGACGCTATAAATGTAGAAGTCGCGCAATATTTTGAAAAATCAAAGCGGTTTTCGTATTGCTGAAAGTGGAGGTCTCCGAATATCAAAGTGTCATCCCTTGGTGTTGTGGTTATCACATCTGTGTTGCACGCAGAAAGTCGACGTTTCGGGCCGCTGGGGGTGCGATTTTTAAAAGGTTTATAACGTGATCAGTCCACTTCTGCTGGTTGCCTTGCGATAAGTTTTTATAACGCATTGAACGCGGGAGAGGTTTAAAAGGGTAGTTTTTTTCCAGTTCTTTTAATACTGTCCCTTAAACAGCTTCAGCGTCGCATACTTCGTGAGATACCTGTAATTGTTTGTAGCCAGTAGTTTCTAACAATTCTTTCCCCGTACTACTTGTTTCTGGAATCTTGTCTTATGACCTTCAACCGGCTCTTTTCGCCTGTCAACTGCATGAAAGTGTTGATGAAATAATGACAACGGAAGATATTTGAGAAGTTTATCCGCAAGAGAGCAGCGTGGGATCTTACCTGATTTCTACCTCTGCTTGCTATATCGAAGTAAGCTTCACTGCGATGAAGAACTGTATGTCCGAAAAAACGAGACCGTCAAAGTCTGCCCTTGAGACTGACCATGACACCTTCAAGAGAAAAAAAACGTCTGAATAAAAGCTAATTTTTTATGGCAGCTTTTTTTTTTATAATTTTTTAAAAAACTAAATACGATCCAGTAAGAATTTACTTATAATACCGAAGTTATACGAACACTGCATGCTCAAATTCTTTTTCTTTTCAAACCGGGATTCATATCTTTTGATGATGAAAAGATTTCACAGTAATTTCCATAGTTTAGTTTTCTGAATGTTCACTTTGAGTGAGAAAACAAATCCGCATTATTAGCAAGTCGCACTGATGATAAAAAAAGTTTTTTGTAGATTAAAGTAGTGTGCTTTTTCAGTCTTCAAAAAATATGCTGTTTTGTAATACTGATATTCCGCTTTTCTTTTATAGTACAATACCACTTTCAATCTCATTTATTAGTCTAAGAGATCATTTGGAATAAGAGGTCCAAAGCAGGCGGGAGTGTAAAGCTGAGTTGTTCTTGGAGTTGGGAGTACACTATGGTGATTCCGTGAAAAGCATGATACATCTTCCTACCACTTTTAACTTACAGTGTTAATTTCCTTGAAGTTATTTACTAATCAATGTGGTTATTCTTCTTATCTTCAAAAACAGCAATTTGTAATACTTGTCTTGACTGCTTCTTATATATTAGCCAATGTTCACCTTACCACATAAATTTTAAGTTGTATTTTGTTTCTTGAAACCGTTTGTAAAACTGAAGAGGGTTGACTGGTCATTGTCACTTACGGTGTTACCTTTTCAACTGACAATAAGCTGATTTTTGTGAGTGACCAGCCTGTTACGCTACAAAGTTTGCTCAAAGTCCCTTTACGTAATCTAAATTCTGAGGCCTTGTCGCAGAATTTGAATATTCTGAAAGCAGGTGGGTCCAAGTTTTGTAAAAAACAAAATACTTGTGCTATTAAGTTCAACATTTATGAACAAGCTAGAGTAAATTAAACTGTTTATTACTCCTATTACAACGTGCGTTTTCTAATATTATCAAGAAAGAATTAAAAGTACCACATAAAAGAGATCAAAAAAGAAGTGATGATTATGCTAGGCTGATGATTTATGTGCAACATCTGGTAGAGCCCTGAGCTTTATTATTTAATGACAAGTTTATTTTTCTTAAGTTACCATCATGCTGCAAAACCGGAATTTCATACTGTCCTTCTTTTTCTCTTTCTATTATCTGAAAATGACTATAATTAGCTCTGCTGCGTTCTAAAGTTCTGAGTTTCAGAGAGGTAGATTCTGGATAACTTTTACAATCAACTTATTCTTTCTCTTTACCTGAGAATTATTCACAAATTAGTTTGAAAATTCAAAATGAGTTCTCTTCTGAAGCAAATATGCAGCTAAGGATTCTAATGATAACAAATTATAGCGAACCCTGCCAGTAAGGTATCTAAAAGCTTCTTCAATACCAATGTTTGCTTTCGCTGACGTACGAAAACCTCCAACAAACCCTTCCTTTTTGCAATATTCGATCAACTTCTCGTCAGTCACGTTGTTTTCGACATCGCACTAGAGCAAAACCTTTCTTTTCAATTTAACGTTTTTCAGAATGTAATGAGAAAATAACACTTATGGCACTTAAAAAGCATCTCGCATTTCAAACTGCTCACTAATTATTTATAGTTCTGAACAAATATGAACTCCAAGGGCTATTTCTGTACCTTATTAGCCAGAAGTACTGAAGGAAGGGGTTTACCATCTGCCAAGTTCACCTTATTATCCAAATCGGCTTTCCATCTTAAAGCTCCGTCATACGTGTCGTTTCTAGTAGAGTCGAAAACAATAACTGCGCCGTGAGAGTCCTTATAGTACACTCGTGTCATGTTTCCAAACCGATCTTGTCCTATCTAGCTTTT